TGCTGTGGGGCCCCCTTCCTTTCATTCCCTACATTTTGCTCCCACACTAGCTTGGTGATCCCAGAGTTAAAGTCCTCTGCGTTTAATCCATATACTCTTTTGCAGCCCAGTGGTTGACATTTTATTGCAAACTTACCATGCCCCCATTTGAGGATAGCTGATATCTGATGCTGCTCCATAGCATTCTCAGTGACCTGCAATCTAGCTTCATTTCCATCACTGTTTTTTTTGTTTGTTTGTTTGTTTTTCCCTACCAGAGGAAGCATGTGAGAATGAAATCCATGAGAATAATGTAATTTTAGGCCAGATTTGCAAACTGGTGTCTAGTAAGCAGAATAGAGTGTTTAGCCACATCTTTTAATAAAAGTGCAATGGGTTATAAACTGTAAAAGTTAGATATTTCATATGAATGTATAAGTTTCTGGTTTTCAAAGAAAAACAAACAGAAACAGACCCAGAAGCATTGGGCCACACTGGCTCCCTAAGGCTGCATGGCAACATGGGCCCAGCCAGACAGGGCAGCTAGAACCCTGCAGGGAGCGTGGTCTCTCTCCTCAGCACTGTGCTGAGGCATTGCCAGGGAATCTCACTAACTGTCGCCTGGCGAGCTCCTGTAGGCATGTATGCCTTTTAGGCTTTGTTTAAGAGCTACCCTTACCCGAGTACAAGCCCTTCAAAAACCCTTCCAACTCACTCCATGGTGTTTGGCACACATCCATGTATCATGGCCTACTCATCGAGAATGACTGCCTTCAGGAAGGCCTCAGATCTCCCTCATGGCATGCTTATGGAACTAGTGGGTTACAGCCTCTCTAAGAAGGTGGGAAAGAGGATGGGATAAACATAACCTGGGTATTGTAAGGGTCCTGGCTTTCATATTTGGTAACCAGTTATTTTTAGTAATGCGACTAACTACAAAATAAAGAAGTGGGAGCTTAACATTTTTGACATAAAAAGACCTACATACCATATTTTCCTGCATATAAGACGACTTTTGAAACGAAAAAAAAGTCAACCAAAAATCGGGGGCAAAAGACCAAAATTGCACAAAAATTATCTGCAGATCTTGGCAAAGTAAGTCTTTTCTTTGAAGTGGGGGGTAGTCTTATACAGTGAATATAGGCCTAAACCTATGTTTTAACTGTAAAATTAGGGGGTCGTCTTATACGCCGGAAAATACGAGTAAGTAAAATAAATGAGAACCACCAGCATGCCACCGAGGTGAGCATGCCACAGCATCCAGTGATATGTCCCTGAGATTGCCTATGAGGAAAAAGTCCTGGCCTCTCAACCCCATTCCTAGCAGGGTTTCCGGGTACTGTGTGCATGCAACTAATAGCTCCCCTTTCACTAGAAGAGTGAACATGATTCTGTTCTTCACTTTTCTGTGTGCCCATGGCTACTAGGATCAGATACTAGTCCCAAGTCCCCACATTCCTTAGTAGTGCCTTTTCTCCTGCTTTCTGATATTTATAAACTAGATGGATGTGATTTGAGCCCTAGAATTTTCTAGACACTGATAAGTCATTTATTTAGAAGGTAGGAAGCTCACAAAAGGAGACATGAAACACTTCTTTATCCATCAGACCCTAATAGATCCCGAAACGGTGCTGTGAACTGAAATAGAAACTCAGATTTTGACATGATATTTAACTTTCCAGGAAGGAGTGCATATGCCAGGAAGGTGAGGGATATGCATCATCATATAAACATTTTTTATAACTTCCATAACTTAATTCACCAGTGACAATGGCGAGGTGGTGTAATATACTGCACTATAAAATCACCATATTGCTTTCTGAAAGTTACATTAGATTTGATCAGAAAAAGATGTTGAATTGTGTAGCAGTGAAAACATTCTTCATCCTTCTATCACAGAAAAAAGCCAAGCAGTAAAACTTCCCAACGTGCTTGCCAAGTCCATTAATACATAAATCTAATCACACACAAAAGTAAAAAAATAACCTTTATCTTACTCAAAGTCTTTGTCTTATGAAAATAAGCCATCTTTTCCTTTTACCCAAGAGAAGGGCTCTGGGTGAAACCCTTTGCATTTGCTTTAATTTTGTCAGAACATTATTCATAGTATTTGATGCACAAGCTCAACATCAACATCAGTCATACCACACTCAGCTCTTTATTACCAGATACATGGTTTTTAAACCATAAATGTTCAGATTCAATAGGCAGATGGTAACTACTGAATTCCCTAAACTGACGCAAGTTAAATTTAAACACAAGTTGATGGTTCACACATTTGTGTAAGAAACTTGGATAAATCTGAATTGAATTTGATGGCAGTTATATTTGAATTGTTTTATTGGATGGTTGCCTGATCCTGATGTGCTCTTTTTTATGCTTCTCCCTTCTTGAAGGTCTTTCCAAGGGTGACGCTGCACAAGTGACCAACAGGAAATGAGCTAACAGACCTGGACCTCTAGATTGATTTACAGGCTCTGGTTACAGAATAGGAAAAGCTGCGAACGCCGTGAATTGTACGTTTTTAGGAGGGTCTGTATAAGTGAGGCCATAGAGAAGAGAACAGCCTTTTTCCTTCTCCTTGGATGCTCATTCAGGACCAACACTTCTATAAGGGCATTCCAGAAAACTGATAGCATAGGAAAGGCCAATTGATCAGGGGATTCAGGGTAATAATAAAGCTTGCAGAGTTTTTATTTAGTAGAAATAATCTTCATGGCGGAGCAGTTAATCTTACTTAAGAAGGTTAAGAGATTTTATGTAAAAATTCACACTGATAGTTCTCTTGAAAAATTAAAGCCATGATAATACAGCTAATCTAGCCTCACACAGAAATAATTTCTTGTAGCTTCTCATTAGGCAGAAAATGAGCTCTCCATTCATCAAGTGGCCACTCGGCACTTCTGGGAGATTTGTGCTTGGCTCCTCTGGTCCAGGCTTTCCCGAGGACACACAATGTCTTCTGTGCATTACAGGCTCTGAAAATTCCCTCAGTAAACATGTCTATTTTGTATTGTGTACAGTTTTCCCAAAGTACATTTGATTATGTAATTTTTTGGAAAGTCTGTGCTCTAGACAATTCTTGGAGTTTTCAGTTTCAATTTATACTTTAAACTGTCCAGCTGAAAGTCAATTTTTACTATTTTACTTGGTACTTAAATACAAATAATTCTTATTTTCTTGTATCAGTTTTATCCTACCTTCTGACAAATATTTGTGAAAGCAATTGGAAAGCTTAAAATTTGCAATGAAGATTTCATTTGCATTTTTGGACGATTCTGTAAGCATTCAAGGTGTAGAATCAACCTGTCTAGTTAGAGTGTTTACACATTCAACAGACCTCAAGCTACATGGCAGAGATGAAGGAGCTTCTGCATTTAACCTGAGGTTCAACCTTGAAACGTCCAGATGAAGGGACCCACTGTGCTGCTGATCTATAATAATACGAGGCTCTCACAACATGCGTTGCAGAAAAGGCTTTGGAGAAAAAACCAGATATACTTGCATATGTATATGGTAAGTAATACCATATGTGTATGGTAAGTACTATAATGCTAATCCTGTAAACTAGAACTTAAGTAGTTTTTCCTTCATATAAGCGTTAGCTGAGTAACTCTGATGGGCAATAATTGCTTTTTTTGGAGGTGAGACCCATATGTACCATTCAATCGCTCACTTGGAAAGCCCCAAATGGTATTTGACTTTTAATCTTGCTGGCTGAAGACATTGCCATTATAATAATGTGCTTCTGGTTTTTCCAATGTTAAGGTTGGAAAGCATGGCTTTTATGGCTGACAATTTTCATGGGAAAAATTCTGACTGACTTCAAGTCTCTAAGTGGCATGTTGTCTGGATTTGGTTGAAATGGATTCAGGAAAATTAAATGGCAAATAAAGAGACACGTAGGTTTATAAAGAAATTATTTATAATTTAATAGGGCTGTCCAACATTTGGTCACAGATTATTCTGAAACTCAATTGCTTTCATGGTCTTCCTATCTAACCAGAGAGACCTGAATACTTTTAGAAAAAGCAAATCAAACATAGAAAAAAGATGCCATGATGAGACTTGTTGCTAGAGCACTGTATACTTAGTGATGCCAGACTTTGGACTTAATCAAGGGCATTCCTGCAGTCTAGGACAGCTGTACAAAGCCTCAGGACACTGTCTGTATTTACAGGACTTACTAATATAGGGATCCAGATTCCACCACAGCTCCTCCAGTCTTAGCAGCATGGAGGAGCAGCAACCTCAGCATCTTTTCTTTCTATCTGTGTAAAAGCTAGTATTCTAAAAATATTTTCCTGGAAGAGGATAAAACTGTTATTATATATTAATTGAATATAAAGTATGGTATGTAAGCCAAGCTTGCATGCTACTATTGCACAGGGCAGAAAGCAGTAAAGCAGGACGCGTGCTTCCTTGGGCATCTTGTACGAACAGAAGGAAGCTCTTGGTTCAGTATTGTGATGCCTCAGATTCCAGGAGTTCACGGGGAGTTGGCCTTGCAGTGTGAGTGCCCTACTGACCTCTCAAAAGGGCACACCTTCCTCGCTAACAGCAAAAGAAATGACAACAAAAAGCAACAAAGCAAAGCATCTAAAACTCAAGGTGATACACCAGCTGTCTCAAACTGTGGCACTGTTCATTTCTTGAAGAGAATATATAATATTTCAAAATATTATATATACATATATTTCAAATGGTACAAAGTAACTATAGATCCATATTAGAAGACAGTTGCTCATTTTTCATAATCCCCACAATTTTCATTGAGAAAACCTTTTTTTTTTCTTTTTTTTTTTTTTTTTCTGGAACCCACTTTCCATGATGTTGGCCAAATCTCCAGGTCTTCCCATTCCAGGATCCTTCATGACACGCAGTAAAAGCACTGTGATTATCTGGTAGCCAAAGTGCAAGTAAGAAATCCATTTGGCTTGTAATGTGCTAGATGTTTTAAATTCTTAAAATGTATTTTCCACAGAGTCAGTTTTCCTTTATTACTATAACAAATGCTTCTGTTAGGTTCTTGGGTGAATCTGAAACCAAAGAAAGACAGACATTTCAGGAGGAAAAGAACAAAATGAAGATACAAAGAAAGGTGACAGAGCAGAAGATTTAGAACAACTTGAGTTTTTAGGAGGTCGATTCTTTCAGGTGATCTGATGTACAAAATGTTAATGTTTAGAGCAGAAGTTCTCAAATGGTGATCCCAGTACATTGACAGGCTACTACATTTTTAAAAACTAATTTATTAAATTGATTTTGCCACAATTAAGGAGACAGACTCTCTGAGCCAGGTCTGGCTTTATGGTCGTGAGACTGCGAAGTAGCACAGAGCCCTGTGCTGAAAGAGCTCTGCATTTGGCTTGATGACCTCTGCTGCCATCTTGAAATTTTTAATTTTGGAAAAGGGGCCCTATGTTCCCGTGTTGGACCGGACTCTGAACCCTATGCAGTCAATCTGTGTCTGATCAGAATTTGAACTGAGTAGGTCATTGTCCTTGTCATGTAGGCCTATTGGAAGTGTAGAGGGCCAGCATAAGATGAAGTCATTGTCAAGGTTCTAGGACATAATATATTTTTCTTCATCATCTCTTAGTTCTCTATAGTATTAGAAATCTAGTGTCTGTGTACAGGGAGTATATTTGGGAGTACACTTGAAGCTTTTGAGTTAGATAGGGATAATAATAAAAGACTGTATTCAAATGTGAAATCTATAAGAAATCACACATTTATTTTTCTCATCTTCTCCATAGAAATAAAAGATCCTCCCAAAGCTTGGTTTCCTACATTCCAGGGGTCATTTATCACTTTCTGTTTTCACTGTCTTTTTTTTTTTTTTTAATCAAAGGAGAGAGAAAGTGACATTCACTGAAATATTCTTTATGTTTGTTTGTTTTTACAAACCCATCACCCTTACCTCCACCACCCAAACTTGGAACTATCCTCCATGGAAGACCAGGGGCTCTGCCATGTTCACCATCACATCCTCAAGACCTTTATACACAAACTTCAGATAGTGGAGGCTTAAATATACTTATTGGGTAAAGAAATGAATGAGTTCACTTGGACCTAGGGGTTATTGTGATACTGTGTTAGGATGAGTTGGTTCATTTTTCCTTTCTGCAATTTCCAAACATCCCCCCCCCTCTCTCTCCTTTCTCCGTCCTCTTTTGCTACTTCAATTTTAAAACATTTAATACAAAATGAAATGGAGATCAGGATTGTAAAGGCTCTCAGAGCATTTCAGACCAGGTGGAATTCTGAGTGAGGAAGATGAACTACATCAAAGCTACTACTTTATCTTTTCAATAAAATAACAAACATCATGGAGCTCTGCATGCTGTGGGGGAGTCACCATTAGGAGGATGGGCCAGATTTGTGTTGGGCTGATCACATAAAACAGGCATTTGGCCAGATGGCGATTGTAGTTAGGTGTGCAATCTGAGTTCTGTTCACTTGCCCCTTTAGGAGAGGAAATTTGATTCTGCTTTGTGCTCTATCTTGATTTTCTCACTGTTTGAAAGACATTAGCATATGGGGTTGTAGGAAGCCCAAAGTTGCATGACACTTCCCCAGGTATTATGCCAGATTATATTTTGCTGTTCTAATCTGCTTATTTTTCTTTCCAAGTGACTTTGATTTTCTCCCCATTTCTTTTCCTTCCCTTTCCTATCCCCAAACACTCAGTGCTCACTCTTCACCTGTGAATTATTGCAGCATTGCCAAACAACTTATTTCCTCCATGGAGAGGTCTGTCTTTCTAAATTAAGCCATTGTTTCTGCATACACAGCATAGAGATTTGTTCCTCAATGTATAAGCTATTGCCTTTCCAACTTTCAAACTTATATTTTGATATATGAGTTTAAAGAAAAGAAATAAGCCAGCAGGTCTCTGAAACCATAGGAAAAATCTCTAGTTAATATCTAAGTTAGGTATTCTTGCCGTAAACTACCAACAAGGTAAGCAATTGCCAAGCAGAGACAGGGCTAAAATTCCACCTTGAGACTTCACCCGCCTCTTCAGGAGTTTGTCTGTCACCAGCCTTCTTCTACTGGACGCTTTCTGTAGGCGGCCTTCACTCAGGGAGCTTCTCTTCCTTAAGATCTATTCTTTCAAATCTCCCAACAGCAATGCCCTTACCTAATTCTACCCATCTTCCTCCTGCATTATATTGTCACCTTGATCTGATTTCCCCAAGGTTTCCTTTAGCTTCTGGCCTGTTATCCAGGCTATTCTCAATCAGGGGTCTAGGGCCATCGTCAGCACACTGGGGCTCGCGAGCCACAAGCAGCTCTTTGGCCCCTTGAGTGTGGCTCTTCCACAAAATGCCACAGTCTGGGTGAGTCTATTTTGAAGAAGTGGTGTTAGAAGAAGTTTAAGTTTAAAAAATTTGGCTCTCAAAAGAAATTTCAATCATTGTACTGTTAGTATTTGGCTCTGTTGACTAATGAGTTTGCCGACCACTGGTCTAGGGGTTTAAATGAAACAGTGAATTTCTACTCTCTACCTTTTAAAAAAGAATCATCATAAACATATAAATTAGATTATACTCTGAAGCATCTATCTGCATTTAAAAGACTGCTGAGAATTTTGACTTAGATGCTTATTTAGGAAGTAAACCCTCTAATAGGAAGACAGACCAAAACAAAACTATGTAGGAAAAAAAACAATGAGGTGTCAGCAATCTTTTTTTTGCAGATATCTTTACATTGGAGTTACTTTTTAAAATTACATATAAAGGAAACTATCAGTTATCATTAACAATTTGGGTATGTTTCTTTATTTTTTTCCCCATAAGAGCACCCTTTTTGAACCAGTCCTACACATAAGAATAAAAATGGTGATTTTTCTTTATTTTCCTTTTTAGTTTAATGAGAACTTGACTAATTTTTTTATACTAAAGATCACTTCTTAGTTAACAACAGAAAATAAAACATGTGATTCAAATTAAAGTACATCTGTATATTTACCTCTTTCAAAAGCTAGCTTGCTAGAGTCCATATCTGAAGTCTGTGGACATATCATTCTCTAATGGGGAACAATCCCCACTAGAAAAATTGGTATAAAACCTATTTCCAGAGCAGATGATCTGAAGACTCTTGTTGGCATGGCATTTATACAGAATGGAGAGCTCCTGCTTACACAGTGCCTTTGTGTTTAAAAGTGGTTTTTCAGTGTGAATTTCTTGATCAGGAAGGGAGAGAAACTGTAACTCAGTAGGAATGTCTTAATCCTCTCAATGTTTAAAAAGTGCAGCCTTGCCTGGCTGGCATGGCTTAGTGGTTGAGTATCTACCCTAAGAACCAGGAGGTCACAGATTCCTGGACAGGGCATATGCCCAGGTTGTGGGCTCGATCCACAATGGGGGACATGTGGAAGGCAGCCAAACAGTGATTCACTCATCGCTGATCTTCTGTCTCTCTCTCCCTCTCCCTTTCTCTTTAAAATAAATGAAAAAAATCTGCAGCCTTTTATTAGTGTCTTCTTTTTCCTTGTCTCCAGACAGACCTGAGAATTCTCAGCTGAGTGGCGTGCCATGCACAGGGCTGCAGAGCAGCATTTCATTTCCTCACTGGAGATGGATTCATGTCGTGGCTCTGTTTTCAAAGCCATGGTGAGGGCAGCTGTTTCTCCAGTACATTCTGCTGTCTGGCTGCACTGCGCCTACCCAGACGGGAGCAGGCACAGCGCGCTACGGCCTCCATTGTTACCGTGAAGATTCTGTGCTCTGTACCCTGATGCCTGGAATGTCTAGAATGTATTTACAACATGCCTGGTACTTCTCCAACATACTCTGCAGAAGTGGGCACAGCAAGGTGGCATTCACAAGTTCTGTTTTGTTTGTTGTTCACATTCTAGCTTCCAAAGAGTCTCTTACTTGGCACTCTTAGAATTTCCCGTATTTAAATCCTGAAATAACTTGACTTGCATTATTGTTCTTTTCCTGAGTTCCAAGTCTGGAGGCATCATGAGAGCAGGGCTTAGCTTCAGTAAAGGGTCACCTGTTATCATTTGGGATAGGGACTAGAGATTTGCAGAAAATACAAGGTGGGCAAAGGTAGGTTTACAGTTGTAATAAAAACAATGAACACAATAATTAATAAATAATAATACAAGAATAAACACTATGTTTTGTATACTCACAACTGTAAACCTCCTTTTTACCACCCCTGTATATCAGCAACATTTAAAAAATAATGGTTTATAATTCTGGAATTACACTGGCCATATGCAGAGTAGCTTAACACTAACTTGTAAGGACATCTTCAAATTATTTAGTAAAATCATTTTTTAAGGCAAAATGTAACCAAAGGAAACCCTGAAAGCCCTCTCCACCGGGTAATTAAAACGGCTTCCACAGATAATTTGCACGAACCGGGTTTCTTTCTGTAGGTGTTTCACTGACGTGAAATACAAGAATTCAAACTGAGCTTTTTTGGTGCTCAGAAATGTATGTCAAAAAGCTAAGATAGTTCAGAAATATCTCCTGGCTGCAAGCCAGGGAGGTATGGCCATTTACTAGCTAATGTGATCAGTCGAAGGACCAACTTTGACAGGCAAAGCATCTCCACTTATTTTATATATGAAAAAAATAAGTGTTTAAAATGGCATCAGGTAGAATTACTTTTGTTTTCTGCATCACAAAGCTGCAAGAACCAATTTTATTTTTTGAAAAGATAATGCTGAGAAGAAAGATCAGGTAAGACTCATAATATGGGAATTAGAATCAGAGATGCTTTTCAAAATTTGAGTCACCCTTTTGGAAGATTACAAGGTCAGCATCTTGGGATTTATAATTGGTGGAGTTTCCTTTAAAAAGTATCCAATGCATAAAATACACAAACATCTAACTACCAGGGCTGATATCCACGTGGTACAGATATATGTGACCATGGCTGTTAAAATAGTAACGTTCCTTAGTACTGTAAATAAATAGATGCTACCTTAAATGTTTTGAGTACCCACCCTCCCCTCACCCCTCTCAGGACACCCAGATCTTCTTGTGGTCCAGGTCATAGAAGGTCAACAGCTGGCCTCCCTGGGCCTCTTCCTCCTGCTCCTGCATTGTGACACCGATTCTCGCCGGTGGAGTAAGCCCCTCAACACAGGTTGTTCCATATTTTGAAGATAACTTCTGATTTAACCAGAGAGATCAAGGAATGATTATTCACATCACAAAAACCTTTCCTTTCCCTATAAAATCATCATAGAATTCCTTTAAACAATATGTACTTAAATGTAGACCTTTTCAACAAAATATGTGGACAAATTAAACATCCTCATTTCATTATCTGAGCACCATAGATGTTGGACGAATTGTCCAAATAACGACCTCACTGCAACCTAACTTTATTTACGAGCCAGTAGCAGAAACACTAAGCTGCTAGTATAGAAAAGTTAAGTTCAATCTGCAGCTTCTTGCTGATGGCTGGACACTAGTCAGAACAGTAAAGCATAGTTTCTGTTGAGGAAAAGGTTTCCCCCGCTCCCTTGTTCAAACCTTCTTTGGATGATATTTGTACAACACAAAGGAAAACAGTATCATTAGTAACATGCACGAGACATTTGAAATTAATGAACTTACTCTTGTGGTCTTAATTTTATTGCCTGTAGCGCACATCCATCCGGAATTATCAGGGAGTGTCTTACATTCTTCTCCCTCAAGACAAGGCTCCATCTCACACCACCATTTCCCAATCACTATGGAGGCTGTTCAAAAACAGAAAACAAGTGTTTGCAATTCACTCAGCCTGGGCACTGCTGGGGTTCGCTGGTGGATGTAGTGCTCTCTGAAGCAACCAGGTCTTCCTTACCCTTCCACAGCTGGCTAACAATACTCTATTTAGAAGATAAGATTTAAATTTATGCATTACAATGCAAAAATAATTATGGTTTCATTAAACAGCATTTTGTCAAAAATTCCCCAGTATGATGAGATGATATAGACTGGAAAAACTTAATTTTTGGAAGAAGTTTTATCTTGCTATTTTTTTTTTTTTTGTAAAATCAAAATTGTGTACTATTTCTTTCCAGTGAAGGGGACAAATTGCTCATTGCTGTTCAGAATGACAGCCATTCCCCCCCCCCCCCCCCCCCAGAAAGATCAGTTTATTCATCCAGCTTTAGGGTTTATTCCCAGGCCTAGGGCCTGTGAGAATTTTAACGGCCTATGAAAAGGAAAAAATGAATAGACAGAAAGCACAAAAGAAAACCTGCAGAAAAAGGAGTAATAATAAGTGAAAATATTGTTTACTGTCAAAAGTATGTTTGATGCAGGCTGTGTTTTCCATTGAGGATGTTTGACTTGATGTGGGTGAAACTTTCAATAGCTGAGTCCCTGATGGAACAGCCCTGCATTCCTAGCCACATCCTGGTGGGCCCGGGGGGAAGTTGGCAGAGATGTAGGGGATGTTGACAGCCCACTCTTTTAGATGATGAGGTTTACACAAGCGCTGGCTGATCACTCAGCACGAGTGAGGAAGCTCCACGTTTTTCTTAGCGCCCGGAGTGAAAGCCCTCTTGTGGACAAGAACCAGTCATTTCTGCAGCTCCCCCAGGTGCTGGCTGTCCCAAATTCTGCTCAGCTTTTCTTCCTCTCTTTAAAACACACACACACACACACACACACACACACACACACACACACACACACACACATATATATATATATTTCAGAAAGGAAGGGAGAGGAAGAGAGAGAACCATTGACTGGCTGTCTCCTGCATGCTCCTCATTGGGAATCAAGCCCACAACCCAGGCTTGTGCCCTTGACCAGAATCAAACCCAGGACCCTAGAGTCCACGGGCCAATGCTCTATCCACTGAGCCAAACCGGCCAGTGCCTGTTTAGCTTTTCCATTCAAAATCTTCTAAACATCTGATTGGCTGATTTGCAGGACTGAAGTGTAGTGCTTTACATCATCACTGTGAGGCACATTCTTGCCCCTCCCCGGGGTTTTCCTGTTACTCTCATTGTAGGTTTCACGATGAAGGGCGCTGGGCTTCCAGGAAACGGCCTTGCACAGTTTCCAGTGACCATCCACACATGGCCCCCACCTGCACCTGGTCCCACTGAGGGACCTTAGAAGAGACATAAGTATCCTGCTCTGCCCGCTGACACCACACCCTGGTCTCCGCCTGCTGTGAGAGAGTGTGATAACACTTCTTAAACTCTGACAACATCTCTTGGCCTGGCTCCTTTGGGCAGGGGCCTTCTGTCACTACTCACTCCTCGCTTGGGAATCTCCATCATGACGCTTCCTTCTCACAAAAACAGAGAAACCAGGCCCTCTGTTAAGGCTGCAGAGCAGTAATAGGATGCGCAGAGAAGAGCCTGCAGGGAGAAGCGGGCACTTGACCCCTCTCCTCAAGGTCATCATCTCCCGCTATGGCTGCGCCCTCCTCCCTGCAGGCACTCCGGTCCCCTCCTTCAGTCTCCCTTCCTCAGAGTCCAGGCTTCCTCAGTCTTTGGGTGAAAATGGCTGCAGGATCATCTGTCTACTCTCTTACATGGAAAGCTAGGGCTCTTTCCAAGGGTAGTTTGTTTATATTTGATTTGTGCTTTATCTGTGGGTTAGACCAAACCACGTAAAATGCGACCCATTAGACAGGGCAGCCCAGGAAGTCAGACCCTCCTCACAGCCTTGTCTGCCCACATCCATAGCACATTTCTGGAAAACTCAAGCAACAGCAGGATGTGAATTCAAGACCCCCTGCATCAGGACAGGGTTCAGGAATGACCTGGTCATGGGGAAAGAGTTCTTATTGATGTGACTTACAAGGTGACAATCTATCTATATAAAAGCCTAAGACCATCACAACTGAACAGGCTGTGTGGGTTGACCTGGCTGGGAGGGGGGTTAGTAAGGAGTGACCAAATGACTGAGCAGGAGGCTGCTTGGGGTGATCAGGCTGGCGGGGGGGGGGGGGGCATTTGAGGGCAACCAGGCTGGTGGGGGGGCAGTTGAGGACAATCAGGCCAGCAGGCATAGGCAGTTAGGGATGATCAGGTGATCAGGCGGGCAGGGGGGCAGTTAGGAGCAACCAGGCCGGCAGGGGGGGGGGGCAGTGAGGGGCTATCAGGCCAACCAGCAGATGAGTGGTTAGGAGCTAGTGGTCCAGGATTATGAAAGGGATGTCTGACTGCCAGTTTAGGCCCAATCCCCGGGTACAGCTAGAATTCCTTCCGGTAGAGTTCTCGAGCGCCCACAATGTGAGCCCCCCTCGCTGCGTTGGGTCACACAGGCTGTCACCTTCACGCTGCCCACTGAAAGCTCACCTAATATGTCAGCATCCCTGCCCTGCATCCTCGCCATGGAGAACGAAACCCCCTGATCTTACTGCCTTCCCAGCACCTTGGGGAGCCTTCGTCACCCCCTCCCTGCAGAGGCGCAGGGACACTGGTCAGAGGCTGCCCGCCTGCCTGCAGGGCCCTGCTCCCTTCCAGGCTGCCCTCTGCCCCCTCCGAGCTGACCTGCTTCATTGCAAGCTAACCAAACTGCTCCTCTTTCTCTAAAAAACACGTATCTTCTCACTGAGAATGTAGACCGTGGGAAAAGAATACGCAAAGCACACGTATCCCCTTCACCTTAAGACTGTGGAGACCCCCTGGCTCTGGGGGAAGAAAGGGCTTTCTAAGAGGAAAAACGCCTGCAGGCCTGCCATTCACTCCAAACTCCATTACCTCGCTCTGCACAGAGCACTGCTTTGGCCCTGCCTCTGGCCTGCCAGCATCCAGCTCATTCTGGTTTCCCTCAAGATGCCTTCGACACTCTCATGTCTGATTTGTACATGGCAGGGTCATCTGAATGTGTCTCTTCATGCTCCAGGTCAAGCTGTGGTCTTCAATCCTAGTTATTTTCATAACTCATAGACTCTGCACTGTCTCTAAAAAGCTTCTCAAAGAGAGAATTTCAAAATTCCTCCTCTTTGCCCAAACTGGAAGCTACATAAAATTTTTGGTTAACAAAAAGGAGCTAATATTTATGCTCTTTAACCATTTTTGTAATATTTTTAATGAATATATTTATCATAATAAAACTTTAATATTAAAAAGTCTTAGATGCCTTGAATTATAATAAGAATGATAAAATGATAACTGACTTTTTGTCATCTTTTTATATGTTTCTGTGTTAGGTGCTTTAAAAGAATCATTTCAGTCTTCACAGCAACCTCCGAAAGTGGGGAGTACTCTGAACCCATTCTGCAGGCGAGAAAGCTGAAACCGTGTCCCAGCTGACAGGGAGGAAGTGCAGGCAACACTAGCACCCAGGCGGGCCGACCACAGCTCCTGGTTTCATTCTTCTGAGGCTCGCTCATCCCAGTTTTGTGTCCAGGGTTCACAGAATTAACAGCATTTATTGACCGCTGAGTGGTTGAATGAGCGCTCTCTGCTCTATTACTGTGGAAAATAAATTTCACCTCAACACACTTGTGGAAAAAGAAATACATTTGGTTTCTTGTAAAATTAAGTTAATTTAAAAATAATTCAGGCAAGAAGGCAGTTTATATTATGCTTAGTTCTCCCTAGTCTGAGCCACACATGGTTTAATTTCATTAGTTACAGAATTTTAATAAGATTCCCACTAGTGAATACGTTTGGAAGCCATGAGAAATTTCGGAGGTGGATGCATAATTCTGCAAAAAAGTCTCTCCCTGAGAAGAACCAAGTTAGTGAAATTATCAGCTGGAAAGCCCTCTCTCTTATCTGTGGCGATTACAAACGAGGGTCTGAAAGGTGCCTTTAACCCCGGGGTTCTGGGATTTGCTAGGTGACTGTGCCATGTTCAGAAAAATAGCTGATCTTCAACTTTGTAAAGAATGCTCAGCTTTCCGTGAGAGAGTCTCAAACGACCAAAGCCACGTTCATCATGAGTCTCAATCTCACCCTTACACCGGGTCACATTGCTGTAGAGAAAAAGAGAGACTAATGGAGAATCAATGTCTTTCAGGGATAACCCTTAAGTAGGCACACATCCTTTCTATCTTATTGTCGGTTGCTTGGAGGCATTTTCCTGTGGGAACAGAACAGGGTACTAATAAGCAGGGGCTTAATACACACAGCAAATACACACTGCATTGTTTAAGAAGTTAGTCCTTTTCTATCATTTCAATAGAAATAATGTTTGAGTTTTAATTCAGTGCTTTCCTTATGTAAAGCACTCCCCAATTTGTGGAGACTATAAAATAAAGAACAAAACCTAGCCCTGCCCTCAGAGCTCACACTTCAGCTCAGCGTCTCCACATGGGCACATAAGCGTTGAGGCCTGCATTACCACAGGAAGCACAGACCAGCCAGGTGCTGGGCCAGCAGCAAGCCCTGCATTATGCCAGAAGAGCTGGCTCCAGTGGACAGCAGCCAGAGGAAACCTAAACAAGGGAGCTTTCAAAAGCAAGGAGCTTGAGCTTTATTTATTTATTTTTTAATTTTAATTTTTAAAGGAATGGTAAGTCAGATTCCTATTGGTGAGCAAAGGGAAGATCCGATTACAGGGGTGGCTGGGGAAGCACCAGCAGAGCATCTGGCATTGGTATATTTACTAATATACTACTATTACCTATCATCATCACCTTGGCAGTGACGTGCAAGATGGAAGCAGACAGAAGCAAGCCGCTGAAGTGTCAGTAAGCACCACAGCCTCAAACCGAGAAGGGACAAGGGCTTGGCTTTTGGATGCCTGCTCTGTGGTTGTGAAGAATGGCTGTGTTACA